CACCTCGTAATGGGAAGGCTACTTTTTGATAACATTTTGGATTATTGTTTAGACGGTGCTCTTAAAATTTTGAACGTGCTCCTAAAAGAAAAGTAAGCGGAGAGCCCTGGAGTGTCCATGTTGTTTTCACATTCCAACTTAAAAGCACAACTCGGGAAACGAGAGCATCCGAGGAGCGCGTGAATGCAGTAATTACACTTGCTCTGATGGCAGGGGATTCGACCATTGCCGCCTGCTCCCGCTACATGTGTTTCGCTACCGCGATTTTCGTGTCCACTCCTTTAAACATTCTAATAATGTGTATAATTTTGGCGCTCGGACCAAGCGTTTTGATTTGACAAACATTTCTTGGTCCTACGTCTTCCACAGAATATATACAGATAAATACATTTAGACCACTTAACTTAATGATTGCTATCGGGATGTGAAGAGACTTTCTACCAGCATAACAAAAGATGTTTCTGAAGACAATCACCTATTGCACCTTTAAGCTCCAGAACAAGTTCATCTCTTTGTTTTGATTCAGAAATTGTGAAACCACAGGTCTCAGAGCCCCTTTAGGTTCTTTTGTAAGCAATTTCAATTGAGCTTTTTGCGTTTTATTTTAATGGTTTGCCTTTTGTTTCTGTGCTCAGAAACAATTGAACAAACTTATGAAGACACTCAATCCTTTTATGTCCCAGGACAGTGGAAAGGAATGTAATTTTGGAGCATCCTTTAGCCGTGCGCCCTGCCAGGAGATGGCATTGAATGGACATTTCTTGTCCTGGTAAGTCCGGTGTTTTTCAGTATTGTCCTGTTCTGTTGCTGTTTAACGATGAGTCTTTCTGGACAGCTACTGCATAAAGACTAAAGTTCATTTAGAGTGTAAACTTGCTTTTGATGGCGAAATTCTGCATATCCAACTTTGTCAGAAGAAGCCATGGATGTGTTTTATCAAAAAATGCATGTGCCATGTCATTTGAAAATCTTGATCTTGTAAACTGTTAAACACTTTGCCCCTTTTGGCACTTGGCTTTAACATCAGATCTCACTTGACCACATTAAATGCCAGATGTAAACGCATTGTGAACAGATTGTAATCAGATCGCTGAAGCCGCATAATATTTACTGCTGCAAATAACCATGTCACTTTTGATGGACTGAGCCAATAAAACATAATCTAATTATTTACCATCTAATTATTTCATTAGATTACATCTGGAATCTTGATTATGATATTTCTCTTCCCAAAGAGAAAACATAAAAAATGTCTCCCTTTGTCTTCACTCGTAATGCATATTACTGTAACATTGCTGCAATCTTCATTATCGTGAGGGGTTCATGAGAAGAAACGCATGCATTCATCCAGTCAATGCCACTGAAATATGCAAATAAGAAGGTTAACCTGGGGTTTAAGAATGTACAGTGTGAAACGTCAGCTTATGAATATACATAATTATTCATGTTTTAGTGAGTGGAGCTTTTTTGACAGCACGTATTTATTGAAATGTTTTCTTACAATACTCAGTTAAGTTGTATGATGTGTAATGTCCTCCTTCCTGAATAATTTAGCATTTTTTCATGTGAAAGTCTTTTCGTGACTTTTAATTATCTTAAAGGGATAGTTCACCCAAAAATTAAAATGACTCACCCTCATGTCATTCCAAACCCGTTCATCCTCAGAACACAAATCAAGATATTTTTCAAGATATTAGTAGTAAGGACATTGTTAAAATAGTCTGTGACATCAGTGGTTCAACCGTAATATGAAGCTACGAGAGTACTTTTTGTGCACAAAGAAAACTTAATACCTTTCTGGGCCTTGAACGTGGTAGTTGCATTGCTGCCTATGGACGGTCAGAAAGCTCTCGGATTTCATCAAAAATATCTTAATTTGTGTTCTGAAGATGAACGGGGGTCTTACGGTTTGGAACAACATGAGGGTGAGTAATTAATGACAGAATTTTCATTTTTGAGTGAACTATCCCTTTAATAACATTTTCTTCATTACACTACTGTTTTTTTTTTTTACATACTATAGTAAACATTTTATCTGTTATTATACATATATGGTATTTCCAACCCGTTTCATTGTGTTTCAACATTGACATTCATGGTGTCAACAACTTACTGCAGTCGGATATGTATTGTTTTGTTACATTTTTTTTATATGTAAAATGAAGTGTTTTTTAACCATTAATCGGGATGTTTTGTTGTGCAAGCTATGCAATTATTAAAAGAATTTGAATTTTGTTGTTTTCATTCACATTTCACGCTATCAGCCACCATTGGTTGAGAAGCTTAGTTTTCTATTTTGTGTTGACACATTTCCTCTTGAGACTTTGAAGTCTGGTTGCAACTTTGTTTTAGACTTCCTCACACCAGTGAACTGTGATTTTCAGCTTGATTTTGCTAGTCAGAGGCAGGTGGTATTAAAGGGAAATGATTCTAGAGAGCAATTTATTGGATGAGCATTTGGAACTTCCCCTCAGTGCATCAGTTTTTGGACCTTTTTCTCAGAAGAACAAGACTGTACATTTAAAATGTGCCTAGATTCTGAAAGTAAATTTTGTTTTCACTTTTAGGAGTGAACTGGATTATAGATTAGAGCCTGACCGATATATTGTTTTGCCGATATTATCGGCCGATATGAGCCTGTCGCTGATATATCAGTATCGGCGAATATGCCGCCGATATGAATTTTTTGTTTTACAGAACATTTAATGCAGATAAAATGCTTGAAATGGTGTAATTACTTAGTTTGTCCAGCAGAGCGCGCTCCATTGTTAGCTACTGGCGACCTGGATGATATGCTTTACAGCTTAGTCTATGGAAAAACCATTGAAACTTTGAACGGCCAAATCTCCGTAACGGCGCGGCGAATCCGCACCAAATTCAGGGGATCTCTTCAGCTCAAGGAACCCTCTCGAACGCGATTCGAGTGTACGTCTCGAGGCCCTCTTTCGAATGAGACCACCCTCGCGTGGATAGCCCCTGGGGTTCGGGAGTTACGGGTGGTTAAATTTGCGGTCCGGCGCTGACTGATCTAGCGATCCCAGGGGGCTACCGATGCGCAGAGGGTGGCGTTCGAGAGGGCTGCTCGAGTTGAAGGGATCCCCCGAATTTGATGGAGGTCCGCCGGCGCGTTCGCGAGACAGTGACACCAGTCAACACTTTCACTTCAGTAAGGACTTGTTCAGGCAGCATTCACACGTTGTCTTATTCGACCGTAAGTGCCCTGCGAAGTGGACTCTTCAGCTCAAGGAACCCTCTCGAACGCGATTCGAGTGTACGTCTCGAGGCCCTCTTTCGAATGAGACCACCCTCGCGTGGATAGCCCCTGGGGTTCGGGAGTTACGGGTGGTTAAATTTGCGGTCCGGCGCTGACTGATCTAGCGATCCCGGGGGGCTACCGATGCGCAGAGGGTGGCGTTCGAGAGGGCTGCTCGAGTTGAAGGGATCCCCCGAATTTGATGGAGGTCCGCCGGCGCGTTCGCGAGACAGTGACACCAGTCAACACTTTCACTTCAGTAAGGAGGTTTCTTGTTCAGGATCATAGAATAGCACATTGTAACACAGTGTTACAACATGCCCCATCTGCGCAATTGGAATTTAAAACTGGTTAGTGTCTTCTGCTAGTAATCAAAGCATTAAAAAACTCTGAACTGATAAATAACAGATTGGAGATTAAAATAATAGCAGATTTGTCTCATTTTAAATGAATAATAAAAACTGAGATAAAAAATTTTCTTAAGCCAGGATTTAAATGTTTCTATGGTAAAATAAATATTCAAACCACGTGTTACAACAAACACCCCGTTACTTTGTGCATCGCACTCATCGCAAGTTTATTGTTAAATTGTTAAATGTCCTTACATATCTCTGTCACGTCATTATAAGTGTTTGATCACCACATTTGAGTGATCATTGCATGTAATTGTCTGGATTTAACCACAGTGATCAGTGCATTGGATTGGTCGGCCTGACTTTACCTAAGCTTTTACATGTTCCTGCAAAATCCCCACTCTTTCTCTGGCATCTTAATTCTAACACATTCCTTTCTTGGTCAGGTGAAATTACGGCAGATGAACTGTTAAGCCGCCTTCGGCAGGTCAAGGATGGCCCTGAGTCGCCCAGTAATGGCTCCACTGAGGAGAGAGGGGAAGGGCCTGCTGGTAAGTCAGCTGTACATTTTCCTGTTTGTATAGAATCCATATCATCCAGGTGACTTTTCCTGTAATAATTTCTTGAAAATCATGTTCTTGTTATTCTCAGCGACAGAGATGGAGGGCACTGAGGAAAACCCAAGTGGGGAGAGCCTTCTTGACTGGCTCAACACTGTACGACAGACGGGGAATACAACGAGGAGTGGTAACCGGGGTAACCAATCATGGCGGGCTGTGAGCCAAACCAATCCCAACAGTGGTGATTTCCGTTTCAGCTTGGAGATCAATGTCAATCGCAACCTAGCTGAGCAGCAAACGCAGACGGAAAGGCTGGAAGGGGGCCAGGAGAGACCAGATGGCCCTGTGTCTGAGCCGGAGAGTCTTATGGAGACTGCAGAGGTGGTTGAGGAACCAGTGGTGGATGAGCTGGCGGTTATAGTAGAGCCAGAGCTACCAGTTCCTATTACCCTGTCTGAAAACACGGAAGTAATTGAACCAAATCCACCAACTTCACCTCCCCCAACCTTGTCCCCAGTAGAGCAACCACGCAGGGGTCAAATTAGGGCTCGCAGTAGAAGCCCAGAGCAGCGACGAACAAGGGCTCGCACCACAAGAGGTCGCTCGCCGCTCAACCTCGAAAGATTGGACGGACTTCTGCCTACTCAGCACGGCCTGCCTTCTCGCAATCCTGAGATCCTTCCAGAGCCCCAGGTCGAGGGAAGCTCAAGGACTCGGCAGTTGTTTTTGTCTAGGCAGAGCACAGTGGAAACGGAAACTCAAGAATCGGGAGCAGCCGCCGAGGTCCCCGGAGCACCGCAGGATAGAGAGGCATCCGCTGGAGAAGCAGGAGCCTCAGGTCGTCGTCCTCCAACCATAATGCTGGATTTGCAGGTACGTCGGGTGCGTCCCGGAGAGTACCGCCAGAGAGACAGCATCGCTAACCGTACCAGGTCTCGTTCGCAGACCTCCAACAACACTTTACTGTATGAGACTGAGCGCGGGGGTTTCCGCCGGACCTTCTCCCGTTCGGAGCGGGCAGGGGTGAGAACATACGTCAGCACAATTCGCATTCCCATTCGCAGGATATCGGACACTGGACTCGGGGAAGCCACTTCTTTGGCTCTGCAGTCTATGATTCGTCAGATCATGACTGGCTTCGGTGAACTTAGCTACTTTATGGACTCGGACTATCCAGACTCGAACCGTGAAGACAGCCCAGCTGCAGACCTCACTGATGGACTGGGTAACCCTGATGCTTCCACCGGTGCCGCTGCAGGTGAAGCGGACTCCTACCTTCCTGGGAATGGAGGCTCTAACCAGGGTGGTTTAGAGGCACGGACAGAGGAGAGGGAAGTGGATGATGTATCTCTGTCACGTCATTATAAGTGTTTGATCACCACATTTGAGTGATCATTGCATGTAATTGTCTGGATTTAACCACAGTGATCAGTGCATTGGATTGGTCGGCCTGACTTTACCTAAGCTTTTACATGTTCCTGCAAAATCCCCACTCTTTCTCTGGCATCTTAATTCTAACACATTCCTTTCTTGGTCAGGTGAAATTACGGCAGATGAACTGTTAAGCCGCCTTCGGCAGGTCAAGGATGGCCCTGAGTCGCCCAGTAATGGCTCCACTGAGGAGAGAGGGGAAGGGCCTGCTGGTAAGTCAGCTGTACATTTTCCTGTTTGTATAGAATCCATATCATCCAGGTGACTTTTCCTGTAATAATTTCTTGAAAATCATGTTCTTGTTATTCTCAGCGACAGAGATGGAGGGCACTGAGGAAAACCCCAGTGGGGAGACCCTTCTTGACTGGCTCAACACCGTACGACAGACGGGCAATACAACGAGGAGCGGTAACCGGGGTAACCAATCATGGCGGGCCGTAAGCCAAACCAATCCCAACAGCGGTGATTTCCGTTTCAGCTTAGAGATCAATGTCAATCGCAACCTAGCTGAGCAGCAAACGCAGACGGAAAGGCTGGAAGGGGGCCAGGAGAGACCAGATGGCCCTGTGTCTGAGCCGGAGAGTCTTATGGAGACTGCAGAGGTGGTTGAGGAACCAGTGGTGGATGAGCTGGCGGTTATAGTAGAGCCAGAGCTACCAGTTCCTATTACCCTGTCTGAAAACACGGAAGTAATTGAACCAAATCCACCAACTTCACCTCCCCCAACCTTGTCCCCAGTAGAGCAACCACGCAGGGGTCAAATTAGGGCTCGCAGTAGAAGCCCAGAGCAGCGACGAACAAGGGCTCGCACCACAAGAGGTCGCTCGCCGCTCAACCTCGAAAGATTGGACGGACTTCCGCCTACTCAGCACGGCCTGCCTTCTCGCAATCCTGAGATCCTTCCAGAGCCCCAGGTCGAGGGAAGCTCAAGGACTCGGCAGTTGTTTTTGTCTAGGCAGAGCACAGTGGAAACGGAAACTCAAGAATCGGGAGCAGCCGCCGAGGTCCCCGGAGCACCGCAGGATAGAGAGGCATCCGCTGGAGAAGCAGGAGCCTCAGGTCGTCGTCCTCCAACCATAATGCTGGATTTGCAGGTACGCCGGGTGCGTCCCGGAGAGTACCGCCAGAGAGACAGCATCGCTAACCGTACCAGGTCTCGTTCGCAGACCTCTAACAACACTTTACTGTATGAGACTGAGCGCGGGGGTTTCCGCCGGACCTTCTCCCGTTCGGAGCGGGCAGGGGTGAGAACATACGTCAGCACAATTCGCATTCCCATTCGCAGGATATCGGACACTGGACTCGGGGAAGCCACTTCTTTGGCTCTGCAGTCTATGATTCGTCAGATCATGACTGGCTTCGGTGAACTTAGCTACTTTATGGACTCGGACTATCCAGACTCGAACCGTGAAGACATCCCAGCTGCAGACCTCGCTGATGGACTGGGTAACCCTGATGCTTCCACCGGAGCCGCTGCAGGTGAAGCGGACTCCTATCTTCCTGGGAATGGAGGCTCTAACCAGGGTGGTTTAGAGGCACGGACAGAGGAGAGGGAAGTGGATGATGGAGCGTCCGATGCTAACAGTCCTCGGGAGAACCGAGGCAGGCAGCGGGCGCCCATTAGCCTGGATGAAACCGGATCTCTGCCATTTCTGCGACTCGCGCACTTCTTCTTGCTCAACGAGGAAGATGATGACCAGCCCAGAGGTCTCACCAAAGAGCAGATCGACAACCTGTCCATGCGAAACTTTGGCGAGAGCGATGCATTCAAAACCTGCAGCGTCTGCATCACGGAGTACGCCGAAGGCAACAAATTACGGAAGCTGCCCTGCTCTCACGAATACCACGTGCACTGTATCGACCGCTGGCTTTCAGAGAACTCGACCTGCCCTATTTGCCGCAGGGCGGTTCTGGTTTCCACCAACCGAGAGAGTGTCGTCTAGCCAAAGTTGGTTTTGTGACACTTTGACATCACTTCCTCCCTTCCCTTTACATTTATTACCTAGTCATGTGAGAACGCGTACTGAGATTTTCCCAGACATCCTATATGAAGCCATTGTTAAGTTTTATCAGATTTGCTGGTGCCAATATTTTTTCCCCCAAACTACACATCAGTGTATTTTGACCCATCTTACAATTAAATAAATATTGGTGCAAGACGCAACCAATGAAGACCATGCTGCAAGCCCTGATCATTTATTGTCTTGAACATCAACATTCAACAACATTATTGGATGAGGGGCAATGTAGAGAGACCTTAGAGTGGTACATACACTTTCATACTAAAAGAGAGATTTGAGTTGTACTTTTAAGCAAGTATTCCATATCAGATTGCTTTTTAATAAAAGTTAATCAAAATTGTGTTTTAATTTGATTAAAAACGAAAATAACATTTAGGATCAAGAAAAGTATAATCTGCTCATCCACAAATACATTTCAATCGGAAAATGCATTGAAACTGTCACACTTTGCTGCATCTAAAGTGATTTTGGTTTCATACTGTGTTGGTATGAAAGCATAGTGTGTGTTGTACCAGTTGCACCATTATCATAAATTACTAAATGCAGATAAATAGTAAATTTCACAGAGTAATTCTGAGTGAGTTCGTCATCCTGTATAGAATAGATTTTGATTTGGCTTTTGAAAGTGTTCAGTAATACTGGTTTTGAAAACATATGGCCAGACACTTTTTACACAAACAAACAAAAAAGGCTGTAAATATGCTACGTGGAGACTTCAAGTCGTGTTTTCGCCTGTCTTCCCAAATGCTGATGACGCATCAGTTGGCTGACTCAAACATACTTCATATATCTTAAGAAATAAACTTGGCTACATGTAGGCAATGTCGTGCAATGCTAAAAAGGAAACCGTAAAGGACGTTTTGACAAATAGACTTGTATGTTGTAGTCTGTAAATATATGCATTTAAAATGAAGACTTAAATGGAAGTTTTTCTAACAGTTCTGTACATTGAGAATAGCATCATTTATCTTACTCTGAGGAGGAAATTATTTTTCTCATTATGTAATGGTTGGTTCATATGGGAGCTACGGTTCTTTAGCCTCATGCTAGAAAAACAAATGCAGTGTTATTTAGAAACAATAGAGGAGATATCTGTCTTTATTGTTTCTGTGTTGACTTGGGATACTAACCTTAAGCATAATGTTCTCCACCATGATTTACATCAACATTTCATGTATCGTAAGCAAGCCAACCATTGTTGAATTCATATTCTTGTTCAGAGGTCATGTATTATAAGAGCGAGTTACTCAATAGAATTTCTTTTGCAAGCATATTTATAGCTTATATTTTGTCATCTTTGGACTAGCTTCCAGTTTGCTGTGTTTAAAATGAATAAAATGATTTCCTCTCTTGACCGTTTCTCTGTGGCCTCGCCATCATGTTTAGTGCTGCTGCGGAATAAAGGAGCTTGCAGTGAATCTCACAGGCCTTCTATCAACCAGTCCAATTTAGCAATGCATAGTATGTATTAGGGCTGCACAATTAATCGAATTTCTAATCGCGATTACAATTATGGATGATCAATTCAATGCATCCTTGCTGAATACAAATATTTAAAAAAATCTTTTGAATGGTAGTGTATCTGGATTTCCTCAGCCGTTTTCAACATTAATAATAATAATAAATGTAGAATGTCACTACTTTCAAAAACACACTGCAAACAATAGCAGATGGTGGCAGCAGAGTCTAAGTGTTCTCTCCTGCCGTGTGTTTCAGGGCGACCGCAAAGCTCTGAGTTTCGGAGAGCAAAAACTCAACCTGCATCAGGCTGGGAAAGAGTTTGAGCCCAAAGCCAAAACCCCAACACCAGGATCTGCTGACCTGTGCCTGATTACCAAAACCCCTCTGACAGCCATCGCTGCCCACCTCAAGGTGACTTATATTGTGTTTTGTCAGTTCAGACAATTAATCGAATTTCTAATCGCGATTACAATTATGGATGCCACAATTACCGTATTGACCCGAATATAAGACGATGTTTTTTTTTGTTGGAAATACATCTGAAAAAACGCGGTCGTCTTATATTCAGGGTCTAGACTTTGACATGTCAATAATACACCCACAAGATTTAACTTCTACTGTTAATAAGATTTTGGTAGGCTACTATTAGATGGATAGCCTAAATGTCCTAAATCAGATGGGCTACCTGTTTTTTTATGGTATATCAAAAAGTGTATGTTTTTGTAATGTGATTGTTGGTACATTTGACCAGTTTTTACCATACTTTCAAAACAAAAATTAAACTAGGAAAAATATGCAATATGAAAATAACTGAAGACGAAATGTGTTTTACTGAGAAAAGACAAGATTTGTTTATTAAAAAGCCTTTTTCCAAAAGGTACATCTGGAAAAAAGGGGGGTCGTCTTATATTCGGGCCAATACGGTAAGCGTTCAAAGTCCACTTATGTTATTCTGCGTGCTTAAGATGCTTTTTTTTTCTTTCTACATGTTATATTAAGGGTTTTTCCATTGTTTTAGTTTTAGTATAACACTATAATACCATTTATATTTTTACTATTTTTATAATTTAAAGAAGAAACCAACCCGGTGTATAGTTGACATTTGAGGCTTAATACTATAGAAAAGCATTAAAAGTTTTTCAGTTAGAGTGTTTTCAGCTTGTTTGTTTTCGTATAAAAATATGGCATGCAGTTGCATCAAACAATGGTATAAACTTCATTCGATGTAAATTGTGATGATCATAATTAATAATCGCAATTACAATTTCAAGGCAATAATCGACAATTATGATTTTTGCTATAATCGTGCAGCCATACTATGTAATATGCTTTGAAAGGATTTTGTTGGTTCTTGCACATTCCGGTTCAAGGTTTGTATTTACCAATAATATTGATTTTCCTCAAATGTTCAATGTTATATTGAATTATCTTCGGATTCTTTAGGTGACATTTGCTTGCATCACACCAGTGCTTACGGCACACAGACGTTGCACACGTTCTGCTTGGACGAGAGACAACAACAAAATGTTAGCCATAATGTTATTTCTATATTACAAAAAAAAAAAGTTTGCATAATGCATATTTATTTAACTGTCCAATTATTGTTGATAATGTGTTTTGACTCTTCATTATTATTTTTTTTTCACGGTTTACAATTTTTGCAAACACTAATATGCATTTTTTCCCTTAACGTTTTAAACTTTTTGTTAAAACTCTTTTTCCAATTTTTGGGATATGGTAAGCATAAATCTAAGATGATTTGTTAATTGAGCTAAACTCTCTTAGATCATCATGATGAAACTGCTTAACATTACATATTTAGATCATGAAACTTTGAGGATAAGATCCATTGGTTCATCTCGCGCAGCGCTGAGAAAAGTAACAGTTCCACTGAACAACACCGTCTCAGCAGCAGACGATCATTTACAGTAAAATATTGGCAAAAATGTAATATTATAGAGAAGTATTATATGAAGTGACTACTTGCTTGTTAATAGTGTCTCATTACTGTATAAATGTGAGATATTTCCTGGAAGCGAATTTATGAATCGTACTATGACAAAGGCTTGGCTCATAAATATTAAGTAGGGAGCGTGACGCTCGGCCACTGATTGGCTCAAAGGCAGACGTTAGTTCACGTTTATTTGAATAGCGCTTTTCACAATTCGAATCATTCACAGAAGATGCATGCTTCAAAATATTACAATCAAGAAGCCAGAAGTGACTGTGTGAAAGGCATATCTTATGAATGTTAAATGTGAGTGGACGTTGTATGAAAGTTACTGAGACTTTGGTTTCATTAATATTCATAAGATAAATATTGATGTAATTTAACTTCCTGCAAAAATTGATTGGCAGTGGTGCACACAGCTTTCCAAACAAATGAAGAATCAAACAGATTACCAGTCAAAAGTTTGGAATAACTGAGATATTTTGATGTTTTTGAAACAAGTCCCTTATGTTTACCGAGGCTGCATTTTTTAATCACAAACACAGCAAAAGATTAATATTGTGAAATATTATAATTTAAAATAATTTTCTATTTTAAAATATATTTTATTTCTGTGATCACAGATGCATTTTCAGCATAATATCTCCAGTCTTCAGTGTTACATGATCCTTCAGAAATCATATTTCTTATTATTATCAATGTTGAAAACCGTTTTTGCTGCTTATTGTTTTTGTGGAAGCCTATGCAGTTTTTTTTCAGGATTCTTTGATGAGTAGAAAGCTCAAAGAGCAGCATTTATTTGAAATATAAATCTTTTGTAACGTTATAAACACATTTACTTTCACTTTTGATCAATTCAATGCATCCTTGCTGAATACAAATATTTAAAAAAATCTTTTGAATGGTAGTGTATCTGGATTTCCTCAGCCGTTTTCAACATTAATAATAATAATAAATGTAGAATGTCACTACTTTCAAAAACACACTGCAAACAATAGCAGATGGTGGCAGCAGAGTCTAAGTGTTCTCTCCTGCCGTGTGTTTCAGGGCGACCGCAAAGCTCTGAGTTTCGGAGAGCAAAAACTCAACCTGCATCAGGCTGGGAAAGAGTTTGAGCCCAAAGCCAAAACCCCAACACCAGGATCTGCTGACCTGTGCCTGATTACCAAAACCCCTCTGACAGCCATCGCTGCCCACCTCAAGGTGACTTATATTGTGTTTTGTCAGTTCAGGAGATGGAATTTGATTTGGAATGAAATTGCAATTAAAAAATTACTCAACAGATACATTTATTAGTCCAATACAAGTTGTGCAAATGAAAAAAAATAATGACTATTATTTTTTTGACTATTAATGCTTATTAATTTTGCCATAGAGTACCACAGAATGTCTACCACATAATTCTCCGATTAAGAGTTTCATTTTTTAAAAGGTTTCCCTCCATATTTCATAATTAAGCAATATCACACAAGCAAAGCTGTTGTTTTTGAAATTCAGTACAACAGCAGTTCTATAAGTTCTATAACCAGAAGTTCATATTGAGTAATGTACATTTGAGACACAATATAAATTATCTTCAAAATCAACGTTCAAAACAAATTGTTAAATAAAGTGAAAGTTTATTAGCGACATTACTAATGTCTCCTAACCGTTTCTAAAATATATGCATGTTTTGGGTAGTTCATGCGGAAAATAAAAAGTATAATTAAAACTACACATACAGTACAGCAGTAAATGGATTTATTACCTTCTTTCCTTTAATTGCAATTCAAATTATAATTATAATTCATCCTGTTCCCTGCTTCAGTTTGAACTAAAGAATAGACATTTAAAAAGCATTCTCAATTCAGTTCTGACTGGTTGACATCCCTGGTTTTAGAGAATAAAACACTGAAGCACAACAGATAGTTGTCATTACATGCCGATGTTGTATTTCCAGGCATGTGGAGTGATGATAGAGGAGGGTCCCGTTGACAGGATGGGTGCTGTGGGTCCCATCCGCTCCCTCTATTTCCGTGACCATGATGACAACTTGATTGAAGTCTCCAATTACCAGCAGTAGAAAGCATGGGGCACTGTATCATTGCCTTAAGATAAATAGGGCAAAACATGTACTCAGATGCCTTCCCATAAATGTAAAAAAAAAAAAATAACAACAAGGTTTTAATTGCCTTAACTTGTGCTTTCAGCTGAGCTAACATTTCCTTATTTTTATAACTTCCTTATGTGTCTGCCTCAATATCAAACTATTTTGGTCCAAGCACAAATGCTCCATACTGAGACTTTGTGCATGATTTTAAATTGTAATTATGCTGTGGGGTAAATTCATTTGAAGCCATTAAGATCTGGAAAAGTCTGGCCAGAATCACTTAGGAAGCTCTTTTATCCAAAACCATTTTACCCGTTCTGTCTTCCACTGTCCTTGGGTCATGTAATGTTGTAGAATTTGTTTAAATGAATTTTATCATGCTTAATATTTTCTATTTAAAAATAAGATGTCATGTGATGCCAAGTAAATGTATGAGTTAATGTAAAACGATATAATTCAGAAAAGACAATACTGTCTGAGCATTTGTTGTTTTTAGGATCTGATAGAGCCTTTGAAACTTAACTGGATACAATGAAATGAAAATAAAACAATGGCAAAACCTTGAAGGGATTCTTGTGAAGAGTTTCAGTCTTTGCTATATTTGACGGAAAGATCTCGGTCACCTTTGGGAAGTCGATATAGGGAAATTCCCTCTGTAGTTTCTGCTCTGAATGAGAAGAAAAGCATTGTCCTAAAAAGCTCATCGGGTGTCTGGAGGTTTGGCGATGTAACCATAGTGCAAAGATTCATCCATCAAAATGAAAAAGAGTAAAGACTCATTGCATTTACAGGACCAATACTAGTTTTGCTGCTTCAGCCTGAACATGTAAGAAACAAATAAATTAATAGCCTACATCCTGACTCATCATGCGATTTATGATAATACTCCAGCCATCAATCTGTTGGTGAACAGGACTTTAATTGCCACGTAAAGCCCAAACTAAAACACTGAATGGCTATTTCTCTAATCCTTCCGTCACGGTCATTCATGATAAAAGCATGTGTTTAGTGGCACACACCGATTATTTCGTACTGTCAGATTCATGCTGGGCATGAGGGACAGTGATGCGTTACTGATAATGTGACATTATTGTTTCCTCAATCCTCTTCTGCAATATATACAGGAAACTGTCAGCAGGAAACTTGACAGGAAACCTTTTCCTCGTTCTGCTCACATGAACGTTTAATCTGTTTCAGAAGAGTTTTTTTAGTTTGTTACTGTTTTGCTCCTATCGTCCTATAATACACATAATGTTGGCAGTGATTCTGCTGAAGAAGGGCGCATGTGGAGGATGACACTGCTATCGCACCTGCAAATACCAAGAGTTTGTTTCCCACATTATAAATACTAACAACTTAAATTTGCTGACTTAAGATTTCTTTATTCTAACACTAAAAAATTTCCACATGGCTCTTCAACCCGCCAAAAGTGGAGGAGCCGACCTCTATTTAAGTCGACTCTGAGCGCCATTTTGTCAGAATTTTTTCTCCTTTCAGTGACAAAGATCATCTCCTCGCTGACTTTACAAGCAAGAAGCTGAAGAAGGAAGAAGTTCAACCTGCTGCTCACCGAAGGAGGAGCCTCCGGCAGCGGAAGAAGCCAGAAGCCTTCCCCTGCGGCCATCTGGCATTCTAAAGAGCAAATTTCCGAGCAATTTCATGCGATGTTGTTGCAAATGTCATGCCGTGAGTGGTGCTCGTGCAGTGGCTCGATGCAGGCTACGCTCACTGGGACGGCATGCTCTCATTGTGAGAGTATGAGTGTCGCCCTTCTCCGCTCGTGGATCGCCTTCTTTAATGAGGTGGTCCTCCCCGCTCTGCTTTCCCATTTCCTCTGTCCCCTAGGAGAAATAAACTGTGGAGCAGTGGGGTTTTAACACCAAGCTCAAGGGAACTCACACAGGCACAGCCCCTGCGTGCTTCACTCTCCACCCAATGCCTCGATTCACCGGTGTGCTTCACATGTGAGGATCAGCACCCCTCGTTGGCTGCGAGAGGCTTGATTTCCTTCGGCTCATCTGAGGAGGAAGCTGTCGTTGATGACTCAATGTCATTAAACGTGTGTTTCAGGGCGACCGCAAAGCTCTGAGTTTCGGAGAGCAAAAACTCAACCTGCATCAGGCTGGAAAGAGTTTGAGCCCAAAGCCAAAACCCCAACACCAGGATCTGCTGACCTGTGCCTGATTACCAAAACCCCTCTGACAGCCATATAGGTCGCTGCTGCTCAGCAACCTGGAGTACCTTGGGTTAAGAATCAATTTAGCCAAGAGCTCTTTTGTCTCCCAGCCATCGAGGGGTCTTTCTGGGGACAGTTATCGATTCTGTCCGAATGTGGGCATAGGTTACACCGGAATGCTCCCTCACTATTCATCGACTGTCAGCATCATTCAAATTAGGGTCTTCCCACATCCCCCCAGGGCTTTCCAGAGGATTCTTCTTGGCCTGCTCAACATGCGGCCCCTTCAGTATTGGCTCAAAGCCCATGTTCGCTTGGCGCCTGGGACGTTTTTATCTCAGGGTAACCCACTGCTGCGTCAGAGCTGTGGCCCCTTGGAAAACCACTCGCCTGTTTCATTCATGCATCCCTTGGGACTGAACTCCAGAAGGAAGGTGGTCACGACAGATGTCTCCAACTCAGGTCAGGGAACTCTGTACGAGGACAGACCAGCATCCGGCTCCTGGTCAAACCTGGAGCAGCACTCAAAATAATGACTATTATTTTTTTGACTATTAATGCTTATTAATTTTGCCATAGAGTACCACAGAATGTCTACCACATAATTCTCCGATTAAGAGTTTCATTTTTTAAAAGGTTTCCCTCCATATTTCATAATTAGGAGGAGCCTCCGGCAGCGGAAGAAGCCAGAAGCCTTCCCCTGAGGCCATCTGGCATTCTGAAGAGCAAATTTCCGAGCAATTTCATGCGATGTTGTTGCAAATGTCATGCCGTGAGTGGTGCTCGTGCAGTGGCTCGATGCAGGCTACGCTCACTGGGACGGCATGCTCTCATTGTGAGAGCATGAGTGTCGCCCTTCTCCGCTCGCGGATCGCCTTCTTTAATGAGGCGGTCCTCCCCGCTCTGCTTTCCCATTTCCTCTGTCCCCTAGGAGAAATAAACTGTGGAGCAGTGGGGTTTTAACACCAAGCTCAAGGGAACTCACACAGGCACAGCCCCTGTGTGCTTCACTCTCCACCCAATGCCTCGATTCACCGGTGTGCTTCACATGTGAGGATCAGCGCCCCTCGTTGGCTGCGAGCGGCTTGATTTCCTTCGGCTCATCTGAGGAGGAAGCTGTCGTTGATGACTCAATGTCATTAAAGGCTTCAGATGCTGAAGAGTGGGCATATTCCGGACAAGAGCCAGACAACCTCTGATGCAGACAACACTGCCCAGCATGGACAGCGAGCTGACCCGCATTCTATCTAAGGCTGCTCCAGAAGAGCCTGTCCACGGCCTCCTTGATGAGTGGTACCTGAAGGGATGCTGTCAATGTTACTCCCACCAATGGCCCGCTCACCAGGATGTGGCACGCCCCCTACTCGGCCGAAGTGAATAGACGGGGCTCTTTCCCCTCTGAGACAGATGGGAATCTACCTCGACGATTGGCTGGTTTTAGCCAGGTCAGAACCGGAACTCATTGCTTATAGGTCGCTGCTGCTCAGCAACCTGGAGTACCTTGGGTTAAGAATCAATTTAGCCAAGAGCTCTTTTGTCTCCCAGCCATCGAGGGGTCTTTCTGGGGACAGTTATCGATTCTGTCCGAATGTGGGCATAGGTTACACCGGAATGCTCCCTCACTATTCATCGACTGTCAGCATCATTCAAATTAGGGTCTTCCCACATCCCCCCAGGGCTTTCCAGAGGATTCTTCTTGGCCTGCTCAACATGCGGCCCCTTCAGTATTGGCTCAAAGCCCATGTTCGCTTGGCGCCTGGGACGTTTTTATCTCAGGGTAACCCACTGCTGCGTCAGAGCTGTGGCCCCTTGGAAAACCACTCGCCTGTTTCATTCATGCATCCCTTGGGACTGAACTCCAGAAGGAAGGTGGTCACGACAGATGTCTCCAACTCAGGTCAGGGAACTCTGTACGAGGACAGACCAGCATCCGGCTCCTGGTCAAACCTGGAGCAGCACTTAAACATCAACTGCCTCTAAATGATGGCGGTTTTTCTAGCCCTAAAAACATTCCTGCCGGCTTTAAAGGGGCACCACGTCCTGGTCCGCTTGGACAACATGACGGTGGTAGCCTTTATAAATCACCAAGGCAGTCTCAAGTCACGCTCTCTTCACAGGTTGGCTCGCCGCCTCCTTCTATGAGCACAAGGCAATCTTAAAAAAGACATGCTGTCTAGGGACATGGCAGCTCCAGGAGAATGGAGGCTACATCACCAAATGGTTCAAATGATGAGCTCTTTATTTCAGATAAATGTTGATCTTTCATCAAAGAATCCTGAAACGATTAATGTATATATATATGTGTGTGTGTATTTATATATACAGTACATAATAAATATACAGTACACATGCATACAGTATATTTTGTAAACAAAAACTTTTATTTTGAATGTGATTAATCATTTGACAGCACTGTTAATAATAATAAATGTTTCTTGAGCAGCAAATCAGCATATTAGAATGATTTCTGAAGGATCATGTGACACTGAAGACTGGAGTAATGATGCTAAAAAATCAGCTTTGAAATCACAGGAATAAATTACATTTGAAAATATATTCACTACTCGGCCGAAGTGAATAGACGGGGCTCTTTCCCCTCTGAGACAGATGGGAATCTACCTCGACGATTGGCTGGTTTTAGCCAGGTCAGAACCGGAACTCATTGCTCATAGGTCGCTGCTGCTCAGCAACCTGGAGTACCTTGGGTTAAGAATCAATTTAGCCAAGAGCTCTTTTGTCTCCCAGCCATCGAGGGGTCTTTCTGGGGACAGTTATCGATTCTGTCCGAATGTGGGCATAGGTTACGCCGGAATGCTCCCTCACTATTCATCGACTGTCAGCATCATTCAAATTAGG